ATCACCAAAATGACAGAGTAGCTGAAACAACAGAAATTTATTTTCTCACAGCTCTGGAATCTAGAAGTTCAAGATCAAGAGCCACTGGGTTCTGTTTCTAGGGAGAGCTCTGTGCCGCTTAAAAGCCTTCTCCCTTCTTCCATGCTGACCCTGCCCCGGCCTCGGGTCAGCCTGGCCATTTCTTCTCAGACCCTATCTCCTTTAACCTAAAATACTACATTTTCAATTGCAACCACATCGGGATGTGGAGCTGCAGCCTGTGATGGTGGGTGACACTATTTAGCCCACACCTGCTGCCCCCAAATCCCTGCCTTTCTTGCATGAATATATTCCATTCATCTAAGAGCTCCCAAAGTACTAACTCATTCTGGTATCTGCTCCAAAGTCTGAATGTCTAAAACCTCATTTCAGTAGCTTCTAAATCAGGGAACTCCCCCAACCAAGTCTCATTAACATCAGGCAAAGTTTCTCCTCAGCATGACCCGTGCCCCAAGTAGGCCAGGTGCTTTCACAAAGCCCTGGTGGGACAAGCACAGGATAGGACACTGTCAGCAAAGGGACCCTGGAGAGAAGGAAGGGATGACATTAAGCAAGTCCCAAGCCCTTGATTCCATCAGAACTAAACCCTTAAGAAGAATCCTTTTTGGGGTCTGGCGAAATAAAACAGGGGTTAAGATGTCTGCCTTGCATGTGGGCAACTCCAGTTTGATTCTAGCACCACATTTAGTCCCCAGAACATGGCCAGAAGTGATTCCCCTAAGCACAGAACCAGAAGTCAGCCCTGAGTCCTGCCAACTGGGTTCCCAAAACAAACAGTAAGAACAATCCTCTTTGTTTCCATGCTCTGTCTAAAGGCCCACTGGCATGGTGAGTACCGGCTTTTATGGCTTGGTCCAGAAAGCCCTCTGCAGTGGCCAGCTGGCCAGTGGAAACTGAGGTGGAGCAGGGCATCCTCTGAAGCCAGCAAGAAGGTGGCTGCACAGGGCCTCTGGGGAGCAGCCCTGAAGACCCCCCCCCCCCAACTACTGTCAGCCTCAGTTTTCTCTCTCCTAGAGTGACATGATCTTGCTCGCACCCTCCCCTCACTCCACCTGTTTCCTCTGGACTCAGCAGGCAATGTTTCCACTGACATAATCCTATCATGATTTTTGGCTTCTACAGAGATGGCCCATAAATCTCTGGGGTTGCCAACCCCCCCATCACACGGTTCTCTAACCACACCCTGGGTACTCCCTTTAGTATGGCTTCCTTTTTTTGGCAACTGTCTGAAAATTTCTTTTACATTATTGTCCATTCATTTATGTTGGTTTTGGGGCCATACCCGGTGCTGCTCAGGGGCTACTCCTAGGTCTGTGCTCAGCACTCCTGGCGGGACTCAGGAGGCCATATGTGGTGCTGGGGATTGAACCTGGGTTGGCCACATGTAAGGTAAGCAGCACCAAACAAAACCAAAAGGATCATCTTTTCTCCTCTGTCCAAAGCATGCGGTCATGCTTATTTCCATCTAAGAATTTGTGGGGTGGGCAGGGTGGCGGGGAGAGTGAAGGCACAACTTTCCAGAAGGACTGAGACAAGAGTTCTTTTAGGGTTTCTCTTGATGATTATCAGCTACCACTTTTCACTGATGTTTCATGTGCCTCATTAGAGCAGCTCTTCCCCACTAGATAAATAAATATATATATGTAAAATTAAAGAGGTAAAGAGGCCCTCCCGTTGATCGTCGATTTGCTCGAGCGGGCCCAGTAACGTCTCCATTGGAGACTTTTGTTGTTACTGTGTCTGGCATATCGAATACTCTCGGTAGCTTGCCGGGCTCTCCGAGAGGGGCGGAGGAATAGTCAGTGACTAAATTTGTGAGAAGAACTACATGCAAAGCAAGAACAAGCAGGCTCAAAAGAAGAGACCAAGCTGGCAGTGGGAGGCTACCATGTCACGGACTGCATGAACCGGCCCTTCCCCAGTCCCCATCTGGCCCTGCCTTCGCCTTAAATCTGGGCTGAGCTCTGACTTGTTCCTCAGCAAGTGTATGCAGGAGAAGTAGGGATGAGTCTTCCAGGCATAAGCTTTCAGCACGTGGGAGCGTCTGGCTTTTGAGTCAGCCACTGGGAGTCTGGGGCAAAAAATCCAGCTACCTAATTAAGTTATTACTCTCCCAGCAGGGAGGCCTAGGGAGAAAGAGAAAGTCGGTATCATGGGAGAAAAAGCCCAACCCCAGCTGACTCATCATATGACGACAATCACACAGGGACCAATAACCACACAGGCAAAAAAGAAGCTCCTGCAGAGCCCAGCCCGTGGAATGAATAGAAACATAAGAAGCTACTCTTCTATGCTACTAAGTTTCAGGGTGCTTTGACAGCTATTGTAAAACCATTTCTTCCGCACATGCAATGTATAGAAAGTTAAAAGGGAAACTGGAGAGATAGCACAGGGGTAAGGTGCTTGCTCTACAGGCTGCCAACCCTGATTCTTTCCCAGCACCAGAAGTGATATCTGAGTAGTCAGAAGACAGCCCTGAGCACTGCAGGTGTGGCACCCCCCAAAACAAACCAAAGGTTTAAAAGGTTTAACTAGGCAAAGAATCCAGGAAATTGCACTGGTTCTCAACAGCAGGCTTTGTTGACTGAATAAATGCACGGAGGTGAGGAACGGCCACAGTGGGGGGGACGCACCCTCTCTGACAATTTTCTACCTCTCTGGTCCTGGCACTTCAAGAAAAATGAAATAGAAGAAAGTAAACACATACAGGTAGCACGCCAGCTGGCTCATGAGGAGCCTGAAAAAAAAAAAATGCTTCTTGTAAGTTCACTCAAGCTCTAATGAAGCAGCACCATGAACAGGAACTTAGGACCAGAGAGAGAGTACAGTGGCTACAGCACCTGCCCTGCATGCAGTCAACCAGTGTGGCCCCCGCAGCCCGTACACCCCCAGTATCACAGAAAGAGCCCCCTGAGCAAGGTCAGGAGTAAGCACTGAACACTTTCGGGTATGGTCTGACTGACCCTCACAAAATAAAAACCATAGCCAGTACATCTATTCAAAGTGAAGTTGTTAGGATCTTTCTGGAATCAGCCTGGGCTCAAATCCTGGCTCCCACCATGAGAAGCTGGGCGGCTATGGACAGCCTCCTGAACTCTCCTACACCTCAGCTTCCTCCTCTGCAGATAAGGATAATGACATGTGCCTCCAGGATGGCTGTGTGGCCTGGAGGCTGCAGGGAGATTCGGGGGTGCGGGTGGGGGCTGCAGGGTTGCAGCTCAGTCAGGTCAGTTCCTGGGCTTCCACTCGCCTGCCATCACAAGAGAAAGATTTCAAAACTGAAAAACTGTCAATAAGGACAATTACAGGTCACTTAGTTTCTCTTCTTTTCTCCTGGGTTTCTCCCCCAAATGATACTCAGAGAAAAATTCACTTTCCACTAAAATCCTGTAGCTCACTGTGAAAACCAGGACCAAGAAAAGTGGGAGATGAGTTTTGGGGAGAGCTACAGTCCAGTGCAGGGCTGGCTCACAGCAGGGCTCCCTCCTCCATAGCAGACCCCTCACCTATATAAGGGGCACTCCCACACTGTCTACACTGCAGCAGGCCACCAGGAATAGAAGACAGTGTGAAAGGGCCAAGATATTCTTGGTAATCCAGTCTAAGTTTAGAAGGTTCCTGCAACTACTTGGAGCATCTCACTTTGTACAACAAAACCTCTCTATCTCTCTCTCTTTTTTCTTTTTGGGTCAAACCCAGCTGTGCTCAAGGTGTATTACTAACTCTGCCCTCAAGGATCACTCCTGATGGGCTTGGGGGATCATATGGGGTGCCAGGGACCAAACCCAGGTCAGCCACATGCAGGCAAATGCCCTGCCTGTTCTACTATCTCTCTAGTCCCCAGAACCTCTTTCTTTAGTGTTTCAAATAAGTTCCAAACCCCATTCTTGTCAACAAGCAGGGACTTTGCTGTACTTTTGTACTTGCTGTATTTCTATGTACTTTTTAGGAGAGTTAACAAGCAGCAGATTTGCTTTTAAAAAAAAATGAAAGACTATTCAACCTTTTGACAACTCACAAAAATAGTTCTGTCGATTATATAGTGCCATCTTTGAAAACCGCAAGAATCAGAACTTACTAGGGCACTGCACCTCGGGCTGCTCTGGGGAAGGCTTGCTCATGGGGCATGTGACTGGCAGAGCTGAGGAAGACATGCTGTTTTCCTCCCTCATGGGGCCTTGTTCTTTCTCTATCTGAATATTCGAGTTTCCCCTTTCCTCCAATTTGCCAGCTGGCTCATGAGGAGCACTAAAAACTAAACACCACATGAAAGATGCCATCAGCAAGCATCACTCAGGCCTGGCATCGGGTCAGCTGGTGAAATCTGGGGTGGGCCTTGCCATATCATATTGTACAAATTAGTTAGAAACCCCAAACCATAATCTGTACTACAGAGATTAATAGCTACATCCATGGTCTCAAGGAAAATGAAACAAGACAAGCTCGACAAAGTCCCTGCTCCAAGGGGAAATGATAATAAACTAAACAATGCTCATTACTCTCCTAGCTGACCACAAAATAACTAGATGTGATACTGAGGTTGAAAGGAAGACTTTGAGAATTTTCTCATGCACGCCTTTGATACTCAATTTCTACAAGTTTGGAGACTCTGAGTGACTGCCTGAAGCAAGATACCTCTGAGAGCAGCAGGAAAAGGAACAATGACAATTCTACTGTGGGCAAAGGGAACACCTGAGATTCTGTGCACCCTCTGGTGTGGAGGTCAGGGACAAGGCAGCAGCCGTTGGTGTGCATCAGACACACCCTCCCACAACCAATACCTCTACCTCACTGTCTTCTAGCAAGATCTTTCCCTCCAGAATGTTCCACCTTAACTCAAGGACAAGGGCATCAGCAATCTAGCCATTTGTATGTATTACACACACACACACACACACACACACACACACACACATGCTCCCCCCAGTTCTCGGCGGTCCTTTCCCTCTGTGTTCCCTTACCTCAGGTGTCCCAGGCTATAGAAGCGGGACTCGCCATCTGTGGAGCGAACCACCTGCAGCGTGAACATGGGCTGCAGCTGGCGGAGCTCTAGCAGGACGATGGCCAGGTAGTGGATGAAGAGCAGGGCGTCCACCAGGGACACAGCATACTGCACAATGCCCTGGTAATTGCGGTCCCGAGAGTCCAAAATCCGGACCCCGTAAAAAAGCCAATAGGAAACCACGAAGAGGAAGATGAGGACCAGCAGAAGGGCACGGAACACAAACACCCGTGGCACATCTGCTCTCTGCTTGCGGAAAAACAAGGCCCAGGTGCCGATGAGGAGGATGAGGAGCTTGAAGGCCACAGAAATAAAGAGTCCCTCACAAATTGTGCCGCAAGGCTCCAGCTGGTCCCGCCACAGGATGGGGGGCAGCAGGATGAAGGCAATGGGGGTGAGGAAAACTAGGAGGCCCAGAAAGGCAGCCACCGTGAGGCCCAGGTAGCGCTTGCAATCCAGCCCCACGCTGTCCTCCAAGTCCTTGCTGATGCGGGCGATGTCCTCCTGTGAGATGCTGTGCTCCGAGGTGCCCGTGATAGCTGTTGTGGTCTCACCCCAGTTGTCGTCCTAAGGGAGAAAGAGAGTGAGGCATGCGCTACCTGGGGCCACCTTCCTGTGGTCCCTAACTGGGCTCCTGATCCCAGATGAATTTTGGCACCAACAAAAGAACCAGATCATGCAGCGATCCAAAACTTCATTGAGATCAGCCACAGAAGAAATCCCCGCCCAGTGAAAACAGGTCACAGGAGAGCTCTTTCTGGGGTGGAATAGCCTGCACAGTCCTGACTTCAGGTTGCATAGACACCAGCTCCCTGGAAAATGGAAAGCTTAACTCTCGGAACACCGAGGTTTTTAAATGAACAACTTGCACTGTCATTTTTAAAAACCGTCATCTTTGTGTCTTTTCTAGCAGAGGAAACATGATTTAACCTGTTTGTTTATTTGGGTGCTTCGTTACTATACCCTGTTGGAATCCCTGAGAACCTCAAAGGGCCAGGGGCTATTTGCCTGCAATAAACAATCCTGAGAGCTCAGGAATGGCTCTGCATTTTCTTCTCAATTCCTGGCTGGGTGATAAAAGGCTGACAAAATCTAACCCAGAAGCTCCAGAAGGGATGAAAGGGGGGGCTTACAAAATCCTCCAGCACTGGGAAGAGCAAAGACCCAAGGGAGAGAACTTACACCGTCATGAACAAATCAAAGCTTGCCTGCATCGAGCATACACTTAAACAAAAAATTGTTTAAAGTTTTTGTTTTTGGTTTTGGGCCACATTAATTTGTGGTTTAATCTGTGCTCAGGGAACCCTCCTGGTGGTGCTCAGAGGACCAGATACCCAGGTGGCGGGATCAAACCTGGATCTTCACCAAAGTGGCAACAAGCAAGGCAAGTATTCTGTTACTGTCTCTCTGGCACCCACACTTTATCTTTAAAAAAATAACTCTGTGGTTCTTTAAAGCCAATTTAAAAAGCTTTCTGATAACATTTCCACTAAACGAACTAAGTCATTTAATCATCCATAGCCAGGAAAGATCAAGTCCCCCCTGAAAATGTGTTCTCAGGAGAAATAAACCATTGTGGGTCAGAAACAACCAAGGTTCTATGATGTTGTCTTTTACTCTGCTGCCTTCTTTTTTCTTTTTCTTAAACTTGGAGGTAGGTTCTCACTGGACTATTTCATTTACTTAATAAACTCAATTGTCAGGGCTTAAGGTGACTCTGCTGTTTCACTGGTCACTGTGACTCCATTCCATAGCGGGAGCAGAGAAAGAAGGAATGAAAAGCCTCATGGAATAAAGGTATTTTGCCTTGGAGATACATATAGGTCATTTAACTTGTGGAAACAGTCCAATGGAAAGTCAAGTTAGGTAAATGTGTAAGACACCAACTTAAAAAAATATCTGCTTTTGGGTTAAAAAAAAAGCAATCAGCAAGCTAGAAATCTCATTGCCAAATCACCTTCTATATAATAATGATTAAAAATGTAAGCTATTACATGGACAGGCAACACACGTAAATAAATAGTTCTCTGTGGGAAGTTCCAAGTTAGCACATAGAATGTGATACTGAAATAACTATTTAAGACAGCGGTTAGAAGCAGCCAGGACTGTCAAAGGCATCAGAGGTTGCCAGTGGAGGTACAGAAAGGCACAAACTGAACTGGCAGTTTCCTTTACATTAAAACACATACTTAGCGGCAACACTGGCCTGGCAACTCCACACTCATGTTTTTACCCAATTTAAAACACAATTTAAAACACATGTCGACAAAATGACTGGTTCCAAACTCTTTAACAGCTTTTCTCAAAACAGCCAAGAGGGTATCCCAAATCCCTGTCTACCTGGAGAATTGCTAACAAATAGTGGTGCACTCAAACAAGTCTGCTTGATTTGGGGGGTTTGGGTGGGGGGAACAATCACTGAAAGACACCAAATCATAGATAATTCTCAAAGTTATCATAGTGGGTGAAAACACCAAACAAAAGACTAAGAATCCAATTTTATGATATCCCTAAACAGACCAATCTTGGGGCCACAGAGATAGCACAGTGGGTAAGACATTTGTACGAGCCTACCAGGGTTTGATTCCTGGCACTCCATATGGTCCACCAAGCAGTGTCAAAAGTGATTCCCGTGTGTAAAGCCAGGAGTCAGCCCCAAGCACTGTTAGTGTGCCCACCAAAGCAAACAAAGAATTATGATTAATTTAAAAAAGATAATCTCATGTACGGTGATAAAAATCAAACCAGGATTTGTCCTTGGAGGGACTGACTTAGAACATAAGAAAATTTTCAAGAGTGATTAGAAATATATGACAGAAGTGTGGGATATAGTTTTATGGGGTGGTTAAGACTTATCCAACTATACTCCCAAGGTCTGTTTATCTCTCTGGGTAAATTTGCTTTTACTAAACAAAAATATTTAAGGACTGAAAACAGAAATTTAGAGGATACATAAAGTTTACAGTTTAACAGTGAAGAACAAATACTGCTTCCAGGCTTTTGTACTCGGCCTCAAATTAAGCTAATAATCAATGTGAGATAGGCATTACTCATCCTGTGTGGGGATTCTACTGGTGCCATACTTCTTTGATCTTAGCACTCACTCTCTCCTTCCTGAAGACTAGTGAAAGAAATCTCCCCACTCCTTTAAAAATGTGTATATGTCTGTGCTTTCAAAATGCAGATGCCCAAAGGGCCTCCTCAAGCTTTGTGCTCTCAGGAGAGGGTCTAAGAGTGTTTGATGCTGGCTGTATCTGGCTAGTGAAGAAACTAAGACGCCCTGAGGGTATGACTGACCTGGGTCACAATGGTGCCTACAAGGGTCCAAGTCCCAGCTTTACCCACTACATCATCCCATTCCATCCTGGGAATATATCCCAGAGAGGCAAAAAAGTATAGTCGAAGTGACATCTGCAATTGTTTGTTCATTGCAGCACTCTTTACAATAGCCAGAATGTGGAAAAAACCTGAGTGCCCGAGAACAGATGACTGGTTAAAGAAACTTTGGTACATCTACACAATGGAGTACTATGTAGCTGTTAGAAAAGATGAAGTCATGAAATTTACATACAAGTGGTACTACATGGAAAGTATCATGTTAAGCGAAATGACTCAGAAAGAAAGGGATAGACACAGAAAGATTGCATTCATCTGGGGAACATAAAGTAACAAAATAGGAGACTAACACCCAAGAATGGCCGAGATTAGTACCAGGAATTTTACTCCATGGCTTGGAGGCCAACCACACATGCATGCTAGGGGAAAAGGGAGCTCAGCTAGAGAAGGGAGCACCAAATAAAGGGTGTTGGGAGGATCCTCCCAGGATGGGAGAAGCATGCTGAAAGTAGACTATAGACCAAACATGATTGTCACCCATTGCCTCTTTTGCAAACCACAACACCCAATAAGAGAGAGAGAACAAAAGGGAATGCCCTGCCACAGAGGCAGGGTGGAATGGGGGGGATGGGGGGTGGGAGGGATACTGGGATCTGTGGTGGTGGGAAATGGGCACTGGTGGAAGGATGGGTTTTTGATCATTGTATAATTGAAACCCAAGCACAAAAACTTGTAAGTCTACAACTGTACCTCATGATGTCTCACTAATAAAAATTAAAAAAAAAAAAAGTAAGCTCCAACCGCTTCCTAGTGCCGCTTCCTCTGAGATGTGAAGAGGCGAGTCTTTAGCGTTGGTCCCCTGCAACTGCCTACAGGGAACTGTTACACTTCAGGGTCATCCCACTCACTCCCTATCCAAACCCCTGCCATCCCTCGGGCTGTCCTAGGCAAAACAATCTAACGGTCAGTCCTAGAGACATTCACTTCTCACTGAACAAATCCCACATTGTGCTCCTGGCTGCACCTTTGGGATCCAAGTCAGCCTTGTATGTGCCTAGGAATTCCATTTTCAGTCCATCTACCTGACCATAAGCATATTTCCACCTACAGGTTCATACACACGAATGCTTAGCTATTTGGCTTTATGTTCACATACCAGTTTATTTGGGACCAAGGCACGCATGTATTCCAGGAGTGGTGCAAGCTGTGTGTGCAAACTTGTTTTGGATAGAGCTCCGATATTTACTTAAATCAGATGGTCTGCCAAAGAGGCAGAACTCAGAAAAGTCCAAACATCTTTGTAAAACATTTTTTTTAATCAGTACCTAAGAATCTAATGATTTAATATAAAATCTTAATTTCTACTATGTTTTTGGTTTGGCTCTGGTTTGGTTTGGGGCCAGAATCTGGTAGTGTAGGACGACCCCGGGGGCGCAGGGAACCATGAGGTGCTGGGGATCAAATGTGGGACTGCGACATGCAAAGCATGGCCCTGAGTCCTTGGCACCATCTCTCCGCCCCCAAGGGCTTTTTTAAAACTCTGCAGGACCCAGAGCACTGAGTCCCTGCATTCTTGAGCAACAGTGGTATATAAGGTCTCATGATGCCCCTCACAGAGGAAACACACCCCAGCCTGCCACCTCCAGGACTCCAGGCTAGGCCTGGTACCAGGTTACACAGACTGCCATTCATCTCCAAACTTGTCTGAGATATCGTTGCCCATCTTTTTGTCTGACCCCACACCTGTTGCATCCATCTATACTTTCCTACACCAGAGGCCACCCCAACTTACTTCAATCATTTAGTGGAGATATCCAGGCAGGCGGAATTTTATCTCTTTGATCTTTTTCCCAGCACAATTTCAGGTTTGTGGAGAAGTTTCCTTCTCTCTCTTACACAGTTCCACTATGGAATGAATCTTTAGCACTTTTCTGGAGAGAGATTGTAGCCTGAAACTTTTTTCCCTCCCTCTGCCCTCAACCTTGCAGGCTTCATTCAATGCCATTCTAAGCAGGCTAGCCAATCACACGGCAGAAGAATTTTCAAGTCAGCCAATAGAAGGGCAGATTGTTTTTAGACCAACAAGAAACCACGGGAGTAGTAGATAAACTAATTAACATACTAGCAAAATAAAGATTAAAAACCCAAGGGAACCTACTGCAACAAGACTTAGGAAAATATTTAGCAAAAAGGATCTTGCTCAAGTGGCAGTGTGCTTCCAGATGGCTGGAGCTTTACCTGGACTTCCTCAGTCCTACTGGAGTCATTAGCGAGCAGCGGCTCTCCTGTGGGAGCTTGAATGGTGACAGATTTTTCTGATCCTCTGCCATCTTTACTTCGGGGTGATTTATGCCTCTCTCGATTTCTTTCCCTAAAAAGAAGGAAAAAAGCTAGCATAATTGTAGCATATGCTTGTATTTTCATCAGAATATACATTTCATTCTGAATTTAGGAAAATTCTGGTGTGTGCATGTGTGCGTGCGCGCGTGCACAAACACACACACACACACACACACACACACACACACACATACAATTTCTGATTGCCACCATCCCGTATAGGAAGATTCTCTTTCCTCCATACATAGTATATACTCCATTCTTTCTGCTGTTCCAACACCCAAAACAAAATCACTCTTCCTCTATCAACAGGGATTGCATGTTTACTAAGTTTGAAACTGTAAATTTTAGAATTTCTCTAGTCAAGGTATTTTTAAATTGTAAAAGTACAAAACTGATCCATGGTAAGTTTTATTATCTTCCTTTCTAGAGTATTTTTACTGGGATAACACTATGAAATATTTCTGCTTTGATCTGTTCACCCAAAATATGAGATGTGCTGTCACCCTACACTTTTGGAGGAGAAAAGGAAGGGAATTCTAAACAGGAACACAGAATCATTTACTTCTCCTGCCTAGGAATCCAATAATCCAAAGTAAAAGTCAGTACCAAAGGTCCTAGTCAAATTCAAATACCCCCACAGAAAGGAACAAAGGAGCAGGACAATGGTTGGGGTGGGGGGGTGGAGAAAGAGAGTGAGAGGGAAAGACAGACAGACAAACAAATACTAGGTCTCCTAAGGAAAGCAAGTTGCAGCTTTATTTTCCACCAAATGAACTCCCTGGGTGGTCTTGCAGAGCAAACTTAAGCTTACCCTGCTGTGGGTCAATCATGAAATTATGAAAGAGTCAGCTACTGTGTAAAGTTCAGAGGTCACAACATGGGCACGAACCATGTATGTAAAGCTGTCAGTTCTACCCCCACTGTGAATAGTCTCCAGAGGAGTCCCCTCCCCAGGGGCCCTTCGGAGTCTGAGACAGGCAGGTCTGGTCCTGCAGGCTGCCAGCTGCCCATCCCTAACCCTCGCCTTCCTCATTCCCAGTTTTCACACAGCCTATCTAAGTTCTGCTTCAACCACGCGTGTGACCTTGCCCAAGTTATTCAACCTTGGGTAAATAACCTTTCCTCCTCCATAAAATGGGGATAATGATCACAGCACAGATCACGATTGCAGACATCAGTAAAGGAACTGCTCAGAGCATGGTGGATGTTCTTATCTCTACTAGCCAAGGCCAAGAACTGCAATCAGAACTGAAGGCACGCCTACTGTGGAGAAGGAGATACTCTATATGCACACCTCCTATCACCCCACTACTTTTATTGTATTTTTCATTTTGTTTCTTGGGGGTCATACTCAGTCGTGCTTTGGGCTTACTCTACACTCAGGGATCAAATCCAGATTGGCTGCTTGCAAGGGAAGCACCCCAACCTCTATACTATCTCTTTGGCCCCTAACCTGCTAATTTTAGCAAGCAAACTGCAGGCAGGTTTCAGATGGCTAGACCAGGACCTTGCCAATCCCTGCTGAGACAAGTGCCCTTGGCTCTTTCAAACTTCAGGGAGGCATCCACGACCCTGGACTCCTCTGCTAGTACTCTAATCCCAGGAGTGCACAGTATCATGACACTATGGCCACGTGAACGCTGAGGCATGGATGTGCCCGTGCTACGCGGCTCGTGAGTTTCCTCTAAGCAGCCCTACAGGGAGTGGCTGGGAAAGGGCTTTGTTTGCACAGACAGAGCCATCCATCAGTGTCAGTCACCCCACTCTCTACTCCACTAAGCTGAGCAGCTCACTGTTAGCTTTTGAAATCTCATTCAATCCTAACCACAACCCCACAGGCTGCTGTGACTGTCCCCATCTGATGATTAGGAAACAGGCCTCTGGAAGCTGAGTGACTTCCCACATTTCCATGAGTGGCTGTTCAGGGTACTACGAGCTCAGGACAAGAATGCAGGCCCACTCTGTTGCACTGATCTAAAGAGTATTGGAAGTTTTCTCCTGTGTAAACTTGCTTAATGCTCCACCTCATGTCCTGCACTTGATAAGCTACTCAGACCCCTGCAAAGGCTGTGAAAGCTGTGCAGACTGTGACCCTGACGGCATAGGCCATATGCTGACTGAGCCACCAGACACTCACGTCCAAAGGAATGGCCATGGTGTCAGGGCAACAGCAGGGCAGGGTAACATTTGCCTCGACGATGACCAGCCAGGGTTCAACCCCCAGCACCCCCCATAATTTCCGGAGCACCCAGCCAAAGGAGAAAGGGTGAGAGGACTAGCCATGAGAAATACCGAGATTTCCCACAGGCTAGTCGGTCCTCAGAAAATGCAGTTTGGATCAAGTCTAGAATTGCCAGTTGCTGGTACCCACCTGGCCAGACCAAGGAAGTGCATCTTCTGTCTTAAGGTCTCCACTTTCCCCACTGCCCTGCTGTCTGGCCACTCTCTCAGCCCTGGGCCACATTATGTGCTCCCCTCACACATCCATCTACTCATGCAGCTCACGGGTCAAATCCTGTGACAGCACAAATTTCATTGAAAACTCCAAATACTTTCACTAAGTGCCAGCTCCTGGAGTCTAAACATACACCCAAGGCAGAAAGCAGGTGGGGAAGCAGCTAGGAAGCCACCAAGACACTGCCTCTGGCCCAGCCACACTCTGGGCTCTTAAAGGGCCCCCAACACCCAAAGGAGAAGTGACTGTCTAACAATTCACCAGGGAACACCTGTTGGGAATCCAGTAAGAACAAATGATCTGATAAACCCAGGAGGGTTTCACACCCTCCAAGGCTGAAACCTGAAACCAATGCTTCTCAAAGCTGAGAGTGCAGAGTGCAGAGAACACACCACAGTGCAGATCTGGGGGGGGGGGGGGAGGCGGGGGGGGGCGGAACGACATGGACGGACAACAGGAATCCCATCCTGCATCAGGAGACCACACACAAGATGCCCCCCTCCCCCGCCACCCCACCCCCGGCTCACCACCAGAACGCAGACACGGGAGGTGGTGTTGGAGTGACTCTGTAACCCTGCTAGGCAGTCAAACCCATTGGCTTCACTAAAGGGACTCAATCCCAGCTGGGGGGTGGGGGTGTGAATGTTGAGGGTGCAGAGCTGCAGAGCACATCCGCTTATACTTTACTGTGCTGACACAAGCCAGCACTGCAATTTGTGTTAATTAAACCACATTCAAGTGTGAGCTACTGGCAGAACATGCTGGTGTCAACATGCTAAAATGGCATGAGATGAGAAGCTGGAAAGACAGTCACTGAAGGGTGCCATAGGCCAATAGCCTCCCCCTGCTGTGAGAGCTCAGTGTGGGATGCATGCTATTCACCCCCCCCCCCTCCCAGGAAAAGTCTGTTGTACTGGGACTGTCAAATCAAGGGTTCTCAGCAACTGCAGGGGAAAGACCTGGCAGCTACAGCTGAAAACTGACAGCCAACAGAAATATTGCCTTCCCGACTCTTCCTGCGCACAGAGTGGGAACCACAGCATGGCCTATGGACTGCACCAGACACTCAGATATTCATCCCCAAAGTCTGGAACTCCAAAGAAAACCCTGCGATGCCTCAGCAGAAAAGGCAGCTCAGGGGACCTGGGATCTGGAGCTAAGCAGCCAGGGATGCAGGCTTCCTCCCAGACCACTGGAAATGGTGTCACAGACATGCACCCTGGGGAGCGCGGGCATTAGTATGCCAGTCTCAGGCCTCGCACCTTGATCTGAGTCGTTCCCACACATCTGCCTATAGAGGAAGAGGTGTGTGTGTGTGTGTGTGTGTGTGTGTGTGTGTGTGTGTGTGTGTGTAAGGGGGGGGAAGGGCAATTGAGAACACAAAGGAGGTTGGGGGCTGAAGCAATAGTATAGTGGGTAGGATGCTTGCCTTTCACGTGGCTGACCTGAATTCAATCCCCTGACATCCCATATGGTCCCCAGAGTCAACTAGGAGTGATTCCATAGTGCAGAGCCAGGAGTAAGCCCTGAGCACTGCTGGGTGTGGTCCAAAAACAAAGGACTCTTGGGTATATGCCTGCACCTGCACGTGTGTGTGTGTGTGTGTGCGTGTGTGCGTGTGTGTGTGTGTGTGTAAGCACATCTACTCGGGCAATTCTAGAGCCAAGCCCACCTGGGGCTTCTGGAACACTCCTTTGCTCCAGCCAGAATCCCTGTCAGTTCCCTCCCCATTCCCACATACAGTGGCATTTCCTGGGAAGATTATTTCTGTTGTTTTCTATTTGGGGAAAGCCGGCCCCACCGGTTACTCCTCCCTTTCCTTCTCTACCACCACCCACTACCTGTCCTTTCTCCCTCTTACTGTCTGGGCCTGGCTGGCGGCTTCCTCCCACTGCTGGTCTATGCAGCCAACTACCTGGGAATAGAAGCCTTACCCCAGTCCCTGCCACTCAGGCAGCTCTCGAAAATGCATTTGGACACTGCACTTAGCCCATTAGTCACTGGAGTTAGCCTCATTCCCCCTCCCAGTTACTCCTGCTGCTCTCTACCGAGCTCAGAGCAGCCTGGGAAGCCTGGGTTTCCAGAGGATCAACCAGCCTACTCCAAACACTAATTAATCTTAAAGATTTTTTCAATCATTTTTTTATTGAGGTGTCATTTTTTACATCATACTGAAGTCAATGTAGAGCTGGGAACCAACCCCTCCACCAGTGTCCAGGAATTTCCACCACTGTCCCATAAGCCTTACCCCTCCCACCCCCTTAGTCTCCTCAGTTCCAATTTCTACTGATCACGTCTCAGGTTTATTCCATGGGGAAGAAAACTCCTGCTTTTTACATATAAGTGAGATAATCTGATAGTTTTCACTTCCTAACTCACTTCACTTAGTATGACACATTCCAATTCCATCCAAGTCACAGCAAACTGAAGATTTCACCTTGCCTGGGGGCTAAGTAGCATTCCACGACATCCAAACACCACAGTTTCTTATTCACTTGTCCACTTTTGGGCAGGCAGCTACTGTAATAGTATTGTCACTGCACTACAATCAACCAGATCCTGACTATCATAAACAGTACTGCTAGGAACATAGGTATGCATGTGTCCTTTCTGATTCATATTTTTGTGTTCTTGAGATAGATGCCTGGGAGTTAACCTTAAAACTTGAGGTGAATAATGTTAACTCTCTACCCCCAGATTTCACATTTCACTACCAGGTGTAGGTACCACTTCCCAATTTTTAGAACTCTCAAAGATACAAAAAAAAAAACTCAAAAAAAAAATTAAGACAGTTGCTTTGCATGCTGCCTACCAAGTTTGATCCCCGGGCACCACAATGATTGAATGATCAATCCTGTAAGCACCAAGTGGAGCAATCTCCAGTTAGAGAAAGTCAGAAGAAAGCCCTGAGCACCACCAAAAAAAAACAAAACAAACAAACAAACAAAAAACCCAAAAATAGACTAAGAGTTCATTCAAGCAGGCACCCTGGGTGGTCACGAGTGTCCTGGCAGTTGCTAAGCCTCACCTAGGAACAGAAGGGGATAAAGCAGAGACTAGGGGAGCTGGCCTAGAATCAGCTCTGGCCCTATGTGAACTGGACACTCTCTGGAGATGGCTGACATCACAACACCAGACCAGTCACCTGTCTGTCAGAAAAGAGTCACCTGTCATCTGCTTGGAGCCTAGATAGCCCCCAAAGATGATGCCGTTGTGTTCAGGCATCTCAAACTCAGCACACCCATCTGTCCTTTCCTGAGACAGACTTCCACTGACATCACCCCAGACAAGGTGTCTTCCTGCTCTGCTCTGCTGCTCAACTTCACCACAAACCCCTAGGCAGAGTTCACAGGGTGGCATGAGTCCTATAGCTGGGAGGACACCAGGAGTTCGGTACCTTGTTCTGTTCTTCATGGGCCCAGATAAATGCTTGCCTGCCTGCTCACACCCTTAGGGGATTCTGCCCTGCCCCACAGCAACACCACACTGCAGGGCCTGCCCTAAAAGAACGTCCAAGAGGTGAGCCTGTGGAGAGCCCAGCTCAACCCCTCTAGACCTCCCCCTTCTCCATGGACAGCTCAAAGCAGGCATCACTGGTCACATTCCATGTGATCTTCGAAGTGTGAGCTTATATCACCATTAGTCATGCACTTTCCACATGGGTTCAAGAGGGCACAAGAGCAGTGCAAGGTATCTGAATGGGAAGCTATGCTCTCTACAAGGGACACTGCAGGACAGATTCCTGGGGTCTCAAGACCACTGTACAAATAGCATCTTGGGGTCCTTGGAGTGTGACAATTGTGACACTATACAGATGAAGGAAGCCATTGATGGTTCCTGCTCAGGACACTGCAAAGCCTCTTCCTCTAGGATTTCCACACCCAAGACCCTCCAAGATCTTCTCCCATCACTGAAGTGTGGGATGGAGCAGGAGGGTGTGCAGAATCAACAGGTTCAGAGAGGCAAAAGAGTGATATTTTTGTTTGAGGCCACACTCGACAGAGCCCAGGACTTACTCCTGGCTCCGTGCTCAGGGATCATTCCTGGCAGGGTTCAGGGGACCATCTGGGATGCCTGGGATTGTGCCCGGGTCAGCTGCATGTGAGGCAAACACCCTACCCTCTGTACTAACTCTCCAGCTCCAAGAGCTAATAATTTTAAGCAACTATTTTGGGTAGTTCATAACTACTATGATAGGTTTTCCCACAAGAGGAAAGCAATTCTTACCTTCTTATTGCCAGAGGGTGGAAGGATTTCTCCAAGTCCAGGTTGTGGGGTCACCTCGGAGACCATCCACCCCACCACCTCCCGCTTCCCTGGTGACTGGTCATGGCACCAACATAAACCCTTTTGTATCTTCATGCCCCTCCTCCCCATAGCTTCATGATTAGACAAGTAATACATAAAATGATAGGAAATCATGCAATTTTTGAAAAGCCACCCATTATGCTATCCCAGAGATGGGTGTGCACAGCACAGCAATGAGCATCTGCTCAGAATATGCAACTATCATGATGTAGCATGTTTGGATTCTTGCTTTTTATTTCATTTTCATTTGATGGGGGGCAGACCCAGTGGGGCTTAGAGATCTGCCCCAGTACTGGCTTCCTGCAGGCTGCACCCTCTATCCTACCCCTCTGGCACCTAAAAGTTGCTTACCATGTGGCCTCATGAGCATTTCCTCATGTCATTAAGCAATCTTCGAAAACCTCATTTCTGTCACAATTTCATCCCATTGTTTTCACTACAAAATACATATTCTAACAGACTGAATGAGTCCAGAAAGAGAAAGCAGAACCATCATCAATTCCCGCCTGTTACCGTCTTGTTTTATGTCCCTTCCCTCATAGCCAGGGATGACCTCACCATCTGCTTCCTGAACCCTGTCTGCAATTGTTCATCTGGATTGGCAAATGTGTTGATCAGCTACACGATTACTGCTGCTCGTGGAAACGAAACCTCCCCCTGTCTGGAGCTGCACGTAGGGAAATGATCATGGGACCACCATTCCCCTCCATTCCAGAAGGTCTCCCCTCCAGGTAACTGTGACTTGGGGCTTTTGGACATGAGGCTGAGACGCCAGCAGCCACTAGTGAGCGATCTCCTTCTGAGCACCCTATACATGCTTCCTCCCAGCTGTCCTGGGTTGGCCCACCATACCCATTTCACAGACCAGGAGTCTCAACAGCAAGGCTGTGATTGTGGTGATGCACTTCCCCACAATAGTCTGGTGAATTTGCTTGTTCACCCCTTGATCTGCGACTCAGCCAACATTCTGCAGGGCTGTCAGATAGCAGGCCCTGGCAATGCCAGCGCAAACCTGTTTGGCACCAAGGAGGGAGAACTGAGCTGTCCCTGCCCCCCATGAAAGCGTTTTAGAAACCTAGGCACAGGGTTCGGAGCGAGAGTCCAGCAGGTAGGACATTTGCCTTTCATGCAGCCGATCTGGGTTCCATCCCTGGGAGCACATAAGGTCCCCCAAGCAGTACGAGGGGTGATTACTGCACACAGAGTCAGGAACAAAGCCAGGGGACCACTGGGTGTGACCCCAAAACCCAGAAAAGAAAGTAAAAGAAAAGAAAACCTAGGCGTGGCTTTGGGAACAGCACTCAGGAGAAGGACCCAAAGCAATCCTACCACTGCAGCGCCAGTCTCGAGGCAAGCCAGAATGGCCAATGAATCAGCAGCTCTGGGCAAAAAGCAACAAATTAACATTTTTGGGGAAAAAAAACTACTTTCATTTACATTCTTGGTAGGCTCCAGGAGATCTGACACATATGAGAAGTACTTAAAAATGAAAAACATTTCCACTGTGGGGAAGAAACTTTAATTTAAAATTAGTTGTAAGAAATGAAGACCATCAGCTGCAAAGGAGACTATAAAATGCACCGGGCAGTTATTCCCCATGCATCTCCAGTGTTCTCAGAGCTCAGCTTCACACACACACACACACACACACACACACACACACACACACGTGCGCGCGCGCAAACATGTCCAGTGGACGTTTCACACATACACATACACACACATGCATACATGGAAACATGCACTACTGGACATCACACACACAAACACACTCATGCGTACATCCAAACATGCACCACTGGATCACACACACACACACACACACACACACACACACACTCACACTCACACACACACACACCATGCGTACATGCAAACATGCACCACTGGATGTCATTCCAGCCCTCAGGAGCTGCGAAGTGAGTCCAAGATGCCAGGGCCACCTACAGTTCCCACCATGCTGAGCCAATCCCACTGAGAGTACTTACCCCTGCCGGTGAGATTTTTTGGAATGACTTGAATAGTATGAATATCCAGAGTAGGTGGATTCGGTATCCATAGCACTGGAGAGCTTGCTCTGGAGGAAGAGCAGGTCCCAGCTCTCCTTGGAGGTAGAGAATTTCACCTAAGCGATGCTGAAGATCTCAAAGGGTCCCAGGACCCAGGAGCCGCTCTTTAACAGGAAGCAATTCTAGGACTGAATAGAGAAAAGCTGTCACTCTTCAAAGATGGCAGAAGAAATAAAAGCGCAGCCCTTCAGGTCTCCCGCTTTCCAGGGGAAGAAGGAAGACATGGTCCTCCCCGCCCCCCACAACTGCCTCCCCAGCTGGCTGTGAGGACAGGCTGAAGGTGGCCAGCCCCCAGCAGAGCTGCAGGAAAACAAGACATGGGGGCCCTGATCTGGGCTGTTTCCTGGACTCACACACATAGGTCTGGGGCGGAAGGGGCAGCCTCTCTCCCCCACCAGACACAGTGCCATAACTGCTGCGGCCACGGCTGGCGACAGGGACAGACATAGGGATGGACACTGCTTTCCAGACATCACCCAGGGACACTGCTCCAGAAGGGTTTGCTCATCCCAAATTAGAAAAACCCAGTCCCTCTCTCTTTAATCCGGGAATGCTAACTTTTGTCATTTCCTTGGAACTCCTTTTTAAAAGAATGTTTTTTGGATAGCGGTTGTTCTGGAACACACTTGGTGGTGCTCAGGGATGATGCTGATGCTGCTGGGGCTGGGTAACCACGGAAGGTGCCAGGGCTGAAAGCGGGATGTCAGTCACATGCAAGCTCTCTGGGAACTTATGCCTTCCTTAAAGAAACACTATCACAACCGCATTGTCTCCAGCTGGGAAAAGGCAGGCTGCGTCTCCGTCTCCGTCTCCGTCTCCGTGCCCACAAACACAGGGAGAGGAAAAGTTCTCCCGATCAAAGAGAAAAGAATGCTAGGAAAGCCGAAATGGGTGATGAGTGAGCTGGCGGCTCATGGGCCTTTTCCTGCCTTTTCATTAGATACTGTTTTGCAATAAAAATAAACTGGAGACATTTCCAAATGCATTCTTCAGCCCACATGCAAATTCTGTACTTCCAGAAAACAGAGACCCACAAGCTCTGGGCCCCCATGCCCCTCACCCAGAGCCAGCCCCTCCCCCACCCCTCCCCAAGGCTCCTCCCACAGTCCCCAGTAAGACTAATCTGCAAACAGAGCTGGTGAGTTAAGTGTAAGAAAAAACAAGGAGCTGCAAATTGCAGCCCCTTACCTGCAGAGAGGAGCCGCAGGAACCCCTGCAAAGCTCCTGATTCAGAAATACTTGCCTGGTATCTTTCTCCCAATTGTTGATGCTTATATACAGTGATACACAAATATTAAGATTATAAAAGCATTTTTCAAAAGATACCTTAAATCTAACATGCTACGCTCAAAAGCAGGCCTGGTCACAGCATAATATTCACCTTTTCAGGAGACACCATAACCGCTACACCTCTACACCTCCCAGCTTCAAGAACACCCTCAGATCGTGTTTGCACTCACTCTGCCCAGAGACCAGGCCCTTCTCTGCAGGTACTACCCCCACCCGAAACACTGCCCCTCACCCCACTTATTATTTCCTTTCTCCTCCCCTGCCGACAGACTGTTGGGGGGTGGAAGGGTGGGGAACTGGGGGTAGGTAAAGCTCTTCGCTGTCCGGAACCAGGGGCTGGAGGAAGCAATTTGTCTTCTACAACCTCAGTTTCCTTCTTCATCAAAGTCCCATCCTGGGCTTTGCTGGCTGATTCCCCTGGTGGTCACAGTCAGACTGTTAAAGCTCCTGAATCCGCATCAGATCTGACAACATGTTGATAAGACAGAAGCAACACAGTGAAGGCGCCTAGCAGCCCTGCAAGCCCTGTATTGGAGCTGGAGCAGTGCCTGTTGAGGCCATGAGCCTCCTGTTAGTTCCTGAAACCTGATGTCCCGGTCTTGGGAGTGAGCTTCCAGCCCAGAAAGGGGCAGGACAGGGCGGGGTGGGCCTGCCCCAGCCTTCCCGCCCACGGCTCCTCCTGCCTGTGGGCACTGGGCTAGTCTCAGGCCTGTACACTGGCTGATACCCCACCAAGGCAGCTTCCCCACTCTCCTCCTGCGAAATGGGAAGGAGGCTAATTTGGGGGTGGGCTGGGATTGTGGTGCAGAGTAAATGTAGTAAATGCATCAGGTATTTAATAAGGTTACAGTTGTGCATGGGGACCTACCTCCTCTTTCCTAGAAAACTCCCAACGCGCTGCTTCTCCCAGAAGTCTCAAAACTTCACAAGCTGGAGTCGTTTCCACGAGCTTTCAGCACCTTCCCTCTCATTTCCGTTCTGCTCGGGGATTTTTATCTGCATCCTAGCTGGCAGGCACCAAAGCGAGAGGTGGGCCAAGATCACAGGCCTGCTCTGAGCCAACCACTTCCCTGAGACCCTTCAGTTGTCTTCTGCAGGCCCACCCATGCCCAGGACCCCCACCCCCTCATGCTCCCTACCCTTCCACCCCAACTCTCATCACCCAAAACTCCACTGCTGAGTGATCCTTCCTCTCTATCCTGGACTTCCTACTTCCTCTCTACTCTGGACTTTCCATGAAGCTCCTTGGAAATAAGAGCTTATCTGCTTTGGAGACACTGAATATAAGCAAATACTTCCAGGAAGGGTGCCTCAAGCCTTGGAATTAGGGTCATTTCTAAAACGGACTCCTTATTTCCAATGTCTTCTCCTGGGGCCACCTAATCACCCTACTGATGCCAGAGAGCCCCGTTCTCCCTGCTTCCACATTCCCTTCCCCCCTCATCCCGCTGTCTTTTAGTACCCCCTCAACCTCCCAGTCACCGCCTGAGGCCAGCTCCTCTAGTCAAAGGATGACTAAACCTGCAGGTTTCTTCATCAAGCCCAGCCACCGCAAAGCATGGTCCCCTCTAGGTGACCCTGTCTCTAGCAAAGTTACCAATTCAGGTCTGATCTAAGGAATGAAGTCACCGCAGCCAGAGGATGCAAAGTGACAAAATTCAGAGTGAATTCATTTACAAGTGGGCCACACAACTCCTGGGAGTATAGAGAGGAGCATATCAAAAGCTTCTCTGGCCAGATAGTCTCTGTGTCAATGGCACGCATTACCAGAATCTGGATAAGGCTCAGGAGCCTTCTCAGGAAGGCAGGGAGTCATGGAAAGGAATTGGGTCCTTCAAGCCACAATGTGGCTGTGGCTCCTGACCCGAAACCCCTTTCCAGGGTGTCTCAGAGCACGTTTGGGGGCAATGCCGTATTTCACTGGCTTGCCCTGTGTCCCCATCCAGCTCTAGTCTCTTCTCCTTGGTCCAGGTCCATGCAAGCAGCAGGGCTGTGGCCAAGTTCAGGCTATCGGCCATTCATGGTCTTCCCAACCAGGCCCCTTTTGCAGGCCCCTATAAACTCTACTCTGTGTCCCCAGTCCTGCTCTGGGGGCCAAGCAGGATGTGTGATGTGTGAAGGTTGAAGGAATGATGGGTTTTGTGGCCGCTCCACATGATGACCAGAAATGCTCTGCCAGGGAACAAAATCTGAGTCTATTATAAACCTGGGTCTATCATAAATTTGAGTCTATTATCAAGTGCAATTTTAGGGACTGGTGAATTAACACAATGGGTAGGGTGCTCGTCGTGCGTGTGGCCAAGTTTGGTTTGAACCCCATCATCACATATACACATACACTCCCCAGTATCCCAGGTGCGTTCCCTGAGCACAGAGGCAGGAGTAAGCCCTGACAGAGCTCCCCCAGCCCCAACCATACTCCCACGGGAGGGAAACGGCACAGAGTTCAGGCCAGCAGAAAGGCCAGGGTCATGGAACTCCTACTGTTCAGACAACAAGCACTTCAGCAGCAAGATTTGTGAGTCTTTCAGGCACACTGAGAATCAGCGGCAATTCAGAGCCCCTAACCTACAGGCTTCCACCTTTCCCTCTCAGAACTACCTGAGCCGCTTGGCTGGGGGTTGAGGCCAGGACAGGGCAGGAGCCCCAGAAAGCTCTGCTCTGGGACGCCACACAGCAGGGGGTGTGGGGTTAAGTGGGCAGCAGCTTCAGCTCTAGAATTCCCAGGGAACAATAAGCACCTCCTGGCTCTCTTTTATTAAAAGCCAAGATCAGTGGCCTCAGAGAGACTCTTCCCCTAAAGTGATGTTCACCCACATAAAATGGAGCTGACTACCACTTACAGGCCAAACAGCGCTGAGAAAATCCTATGAGGTAAATAACACGCTAGGGTAATGACAGACAGGCTAACCTTCCTGAAAAGGAAATTATAAAATCATCAGCTGCTCTGCCTACAGCTATTAAGTAATTGAAGGAACTCAGTCAGGGTTTGGAGGGGAGAAAGTTGCTGGGAGGGGCATGTTGAATTTAAAGAGGTCTTCCACAGCCCCATGAAGAGGAGGGCTTTCTGGAACAACTGTGTTTCTACCAAATGACTGACTTTGAATATTTCATTTTTAATCACACACATAATTCTAAAGGGTGGTTTAATCCATTAATTATTTTTTTACTATGTTTCGAAGCTAGCCTTTTTCTCAAGGTACCCATTTTTAATTATATGGCACTCCAAAGGTAAATGACAATTTAAATAATTCTGCTTCAAGTCAACTTTTCTTCTACAGACAAGCAGAGTGGAGTGCCACAGTGCACACAGGTTCTGAAGTTAAACCATCACTACTCAAATCCTGGCTCAGGATTTTAGCAGCTCTGGGACCTCAAATCAAGGGAGTTGAACTTTCTAAGCCTGTTTCCCTCATGATAACAATAGAAATCTATTTTACTTCTAGGCTGGTGAAAGACATGAAATGAGATTGGGAAGATTTCCTTTGCATGATAGGAGGCTTACACATTTTATCACTGAACACCACCATATATTTTTCTTTTTCTTTTTTCTTTTTTAACCTATGTTAGTGTACCTTTATGGGCTGGAGCGATAGCACAGCGGGTAGGGCGTTTGCCTTGCACACGGTCCATCTGGGTGCGATTCCTCTGACCCTCTCGGAGAGCCCAAGAAGCTACTGACAGTATTCCACCTGCACAGCAAGGCCTGGCAAGCTACCCGTGACATATTTGATATGCCAAAAACAGTAACAACAAGTCTCACAATGGAGATGTTACTGGTGCCCACTCGAAAAAAATCGATGAACAATGGGAGGACAGTGACAATGACAGTGACAGTGAACCTTTAAAGAATAACAATGACTCTAGCTAATATTTAGTCATTTTCATTCTACTCCTTTCCACACCGTTCACAGTACCCAGGTTGGAAGTATCAGAGAAAACTCTGGGTTGTAACAAGTCTTTGAAGGTTCTTCCAATCTTCCAGGAATTGAAAGAACTGGTAGAAAAGTGTGCCAAGGTCTGTGAGGCATTTTTGCTGAACTCTATAGCACAGCGGGTAGGGCGTTCGCCTTACACGCGGCCAACATGGCCGACCCGAGTTCGATTCCTCCGCCCCTCTCGGAGAGCCCGGCAAGCTACCGAGAGTATTCGATATGCCAGACACAGTAACAACAAAGTCTCCAATGGAGACGTTACTGGGCCCGCTCGAGCAAATCGACGATCAACCGGAGGGCCATTCTATAAGCAATGCCACACTGTCTGGATCAGAGGGCTAGCAGCATTTGTGACAAACGCATAGGGCATTTCATTACAACAGAGCTCTTAACCAAGGAATAATGCTGGGCCTCTATCTGCCAGGAAGAAAATATTGACAGCATTTTACCCGGCTTGCCAATGACTCCAACTTACCTTCTCAGAATTACTGCTCTTTAGCAATCACTAATTGGCTCCAACACACTTCCAGCAGCTAGCTGCAGATGTCTGAAGAGCTGTGAATGGTTAACTTGTCTGGGATTCTATGATGTGTATTTGTTTTCAAGTGACCCCATGCCACTACTAGCTAAGCTTCAGGAAAATAAGACTGCAGTTACTATTCCTCAGAAACGCCATTGTGGTAGACCCAATAACTGCTGCTGAGTAAGTGAGGATCGGGGGAGACTGTTTCAGAAGGAACTGAGCAAGCACTTCAACATGCAACTTCTACCAAGAGCAGAGCCACGCACAGAACCAGCCCAGCCCCGAGTCCACTTAATCCTGCATTGCCGCGTTTCTGGAAAATGGCATGACATGACATGATGCTCCCAACTGCATCCCCACTAGAACTCAACACCTGCCTACAGCTAACTCACTTTACATAGAGGATGCGACAATAACCAAGAGCTAACAGCGGGTAAGTCATCTGTGCGCGATAGTTCACATATACCCTAGAACCAGCCTCCTAAGGAGTCAAAACACTAATTTCATTTTATGTTTAAGAAAACCAAGGCACATACCTGTGAAATGTTGGAGCCAGGGAAATCTGCGCACTTAATTCCAGAACCTGTGCCCTTAGCTAAAGAAAATGTACAGCAAAGCTACCAACTAACAAAACTGCTTAAGGACAGAGGGTGGCTGGGGCAAGGCAATCACCCAATCATCAGAAGCTGTCTGAGCCAGAAAGAATTTGCCATCCCAATGTCTCCCTCTCCAGCATGGCAGGAGTACAGGAGAAAAGGGAAGAACCTGAAATAGTATCAGCTCACAGCTCCAAGGTGTAAATTACCTATTAAAATACAAAGTCATCAGCCCCATGGAGCCCTAATGTGGCAGAGTAGTCTAGAGAGTAAGAGGCAGGGTGTGAATGGGAACAGGGTGGGGGGGGGAGGGAGAGCTCTTCCTTGCTCAATACCTGTTAATGCCTCAGCACAACAGGGGGACTTGGCAAAGAATCTAACTCCTTCGGAGTTCCAACCTGTGGCTCAAAGGCATGAAGACAACAAAATGCACTGCAAGCAGTCCTCACAATATGCAACAAGCCACCCTCCACACTCTCCCATTTTCTTTACAAATTAAATCACAACCAAGGCACACCACCACAGTAAGCCTGAAATTTTCCACTAGGTAGATCTTTTCACTAATCACACAAAGAGGAGCCAAAGTTTGGGGCTGCTAACAAGCTCCTGGAGAGGTGAAGAGTGTTATTTCTCTGACATGTGGAATAAAACAGTTTCCTCCCACCAATCAAAGTCCCAACAATATCACACAGATTTAATTCAACTCCAAAAACTCTAATTAGTGGTTCCATAAAATGACTAATTCCGTCTCCCTGGATTCAGACGGGTTCTGCCCTCTCACTTTAAGAGCCCAGGAGCGTGTAATCAAGAACCCACCCATTGGAAGGCGAACGGTAGTTAACATTGTTGATCGGTGACACGACTTATCACATTTTCAAGCAGCCCGGTGGAAATGATAACTATCCCCGCGCGAATGCAGATGCTTTACAGCCTGCCGGCTTTCAGAGGGTCTAGAAGGACATGCATTCCCCACCGGCGACCCCTCGGCGGGCGTGAACAGGGTGCCAGCGCCAGGCACCGCCACAAAGCGCTCTCCCGCTCCTAGCTGCACCGAGCTCGGCTCGCCGCAGCCCCGGGCCCGGGCGTCCTCCGGGCGGGCAGGGGTGGACGCAGAGCCCAGCCCGCGGGCGGCACGTCTCACCGGCTCCGGTCCGGGCTCCAGGCCGCGGCCCGCCGCTCCTGCCGCGCCCGCGACGCGTTCGAGTCCTCCGAAGGCTGCCCGGCTCGGGGCCGACGGCGGCTCGGGGCTGCGGGCTGCCGGCGGCCGCTCCCCCGCGTCTGTGCAACTCCTCCCCGCCTGTTGCGTCCCCGCGCCGCGCCGCCGGATCCCGTCCCCCCGCCGCCCGGTGCCCGGGCTGGCCGCGGCGGTCCGGGCGCGCTCGGCTCCGGGAGCCCCGCTCGGCGACTCGCCGGGCGCGGCCGGGCGCGGGGCGTGTGACCGGGCGCGGGGCGCGGGGGCGGCTCCCGCGGCGGGGACCCGGGACTCACCTCGGCGCCGGCCCCGCGGGCTCCGCCGCCCGCGCTCGCGCCTCTGCGGCCTGCGCCGGCCCGGAGAGAAGGCGGCGGCTTTCCGCTTCCTGTCCCGGCGCCGCCCCGCGCCCGGCCGCCCGGCAGCGGCCGCCCCCGACGCCCACCTGCGCCGCCGGCCGCGGACACGCAACGGACACGCACACGCACAGCCACACTCACAAACTCACACGCACAGCCACACTCACACTCACATGCATTCACACGCACAGTCACACTCACACTCACATACATTCACACGCACAGTCACACTCACACATGCACAATCACGCACACACGCACACACATGCACAATCGCACATTCACAACACACAATCACACACTCACATATACATACACTCGCACACAATCACACACACATTCACACGTAACACTCACAAACACACTCACATACACTCACAAAACACACAACACTCACATACACTCACGCATTCACACACACACACATTCACTCACACACACCCACATTCACACTCATACACACATTTACATATTCTTACACACTTCCAACACTCTCCCAACACACACACTCACTCTCACTCACACACTCACAATACTCACACATTCGCACACACATAACACACACAACACATACAACACTCACAACACACACTCACACAGATTCACAAACTCGTAACACACACAACACACAGAACACACACAACACTTACACACTCACATACAACACACACTCACAACACACATTCACACACTTGCAACACTCACACTCACAACACACATTCACACACACTCACAACACTTGCAACACTCAATACTTACAACACTCAACACATTCACACACAACACTCATGCACATACAATGCTCACACTCTCCCAACACACACACTCTCACTCACACACTCACAATACTCACACACATTCACACACACAGCACACACGTAACACACACAACACATACAACACTCACAACATACACTCACACAGATTCACAAACTCGTAACACTCACACACAACACACACTCAAAACACACATTCACACACTTGCAACACTCACACTCACAACACACATTCACACACACTCACAACACTTGCAACACTCAATACTTACAACACTCAACACATTCACACACAACACTCATGCACATACAATGCTCACACACTCACAATACTCACACTCACACTCACACAATCACACTCATACGCTCACACGTTCACACACAATCATACCCTCACACACATGCACATTCACATACTCACACAGTCACACTCACACAAATGCACAAACACACCCTCATACACATGCACAATCACACACACTCACACACATTCACATACCTCACTTAGGCTCAGTACGTGGGCAGAGATTGGCCCCACCAAGTACCCCATCATGCTTGCACATTCAGGCTCACACATGCACACACGTGCGCACACTTAACTTTCAGTGAGAAACAAGTGGGCAGGGATTGATCCCACCCAGCACCAAAGCAGGCACTCAAACATGTGAGATTAAGCTCGCATCAAGTTCACATTCTCAGGGACACACACACACACACTCACACACATTCACACACACATACACTTATACACTCACACATTCACACTCACATACACACACATACTCACCTTCAGGCACAAAATCCAAACCCTTTGCCTTGACAAAAGCACATCAATATTCACAAGATCCCAAATTAGGCACTACCCCCATCACACACCACCCTTTATTTATGAATGTCATTGCAAGAACCAGCTCACAAACACCCATGTACACACTCATACCTCAATCTGAAGTTCAGTAGACTCAGAAAATGATCCCAAAATACACAACACACACACACACACACACACACACACACACACACACCCCTCCTACAGACCCAGAGATCCAAGCATCTTCCTCCCACCCTGAAAGAAATGTCTCCACCCAAACTCAATCTTCTAGAAATGCTGGGAGAGTCCATCTCTTTTGTTTGTTTGCTTTTGGTTTTTGAGCCACACCCTGCGGTTCTCTGCTGCGTTTACTTCTGGCTCTGTACTCAAGAATCACTCTTGGCAGTGTTTTGGAGACCATCTGGGATGCCCAGGATCCAACCTGGGTTGGCCTGTGCAAGGCAATCGACCTCTCTGGCCCCAAGAGATCATCTCTGAAGTTCAGAGCCATGAATTCCAAACCTGACTCCTCCAGGCAGCGTGTTTTTCTGTCTGAAAGATGAAGAGGATAGTGACAAGCCAGAAGGCTGTGGTGAGGAGTGGGAAGTGTCAGTAGAAACAAACAGTCACCAGCTCTTTACTTGAATATTTGCATTCTTCTTTTTACCCACGGGGGAGGGTAAGGGATCCATGTGGAGAGTGTGCAATTCGTCTGGGAGCCTAAACTGCTTACCGGTCAAAACTGTCCTATAGAAGTCCAGAGGGCACTGGGGACAGGGAGCCAACGCCCACCCAGAACTAGCCCTGGACAGGGAACTCTAGCCCCTACAGCTCCTTTCTCAGCCCATCCATATCACATTTCCTCAACAGGCATCATGTCATCTTGTTCTGTTTTGTCTATTCTGTTTGGAGACCATACTCAGCTCTCACTTCAACTGAGAGCGCTCCTGAGAATGCCCCAATCATAGCTTGTATGGCTCAACTAAAGACAACCCCAGACAAGCACCAACAAAAGTGCTACAGGACTACAGGACTGATGACTGTGTGTGGGAACGACACAACCTGATTTGCGAATAACAGTGAGGACCAGAGTTGAAATTGTGAACATCATAGCCACCCCTCCATGCCCCCCTCATTACTGCAGCCCAACAGGAGGCAACTGAGATTGAAGACAGGGGATAAACATAAGTAAATACAATGTTTTAAAGGTTTGTTTAAAGGAGTGGAGGGAAATGTGTAACCGAATGTGCTTTATTGACATGGGGCACCAGAGCATTCCCTTTGGTTCTTTAGTGAAATGTACTGATATATAAGCGAACATGACTATCACACTTACCGTGCATGAATAATATGCTCCCCTACTATACTTGAGGTCAGAAGTGCTCAGATTCATTCCTGGTGGGACTTGGGGAACCACACGTGATGCCAGATATTGAACCTGGGTCAGGTATAAGAAAAACAAGCACTTTATGAAAACAAATAGGAAATATACCCCCCCACACACACCCACAATGCACTTAAGGCAAGTACTGCTCCCCAGCACCATTCCAGCACCCTAGAGGTGGTATCATCTACTGGGAAAACACTGATACTGTTGATATTAATATTTTTGAGCATTTGAAGAAATGAATAATTTGAAGGGAGGCATGTAAGGGTATGTATAAGATTAGTGTTTAGAAGATTAGTTGCCATAAATCAAGATCACTTTGAAGATTCTAGAAGAAATACTCTGTGTTCAACCCAATACTGTCCTCAAAGCATTCTTCAATTTCTCTAGTCAAATATACTCTTTCCTTCCTGGAAAGGTTCCACTTTGGGGACTAGAGAGTTAGTGCAGAGGGGAGGACACTTGCCTTGCATACAGCCAACCTAGGTTTGATCCCCAGCATCCCATTTGGTCTCCTAGCATGACCAGGAATGGTTCCTGAATGCAGAGCCAGGAATAATCCCTGAGCATCACCAGATATATCCCCAAACAAAAAACAAAGAAAAAGTTTTCTACCTTTATATTTTGTATATGTTTAACATATGCTAGCTTACTTTATACAGTGTAAGAATTTGTTTTAACTTGTTTTTGTTTCCTCTCCCCTAAATATCTTAGGCCAGGATCTCCGAGGTCTTTTGCCCACACCATCTACACCCAAGGCTTGCATCCTGGCTACGCTTGATCACAGCCAAAAGACAGCTCACATAGTTGCTGAAGAGAAATGAAAACTCTATGGGAAAACAGCAACTAGTCTGGAGTTAAACTGAGGTACTAAACACAGATGAGAAAGAGCTTCCTTCATAGAAGGAGGTCCTAGTGAAGCAGGAAGAAATGAGATGCGAATCCAAGGTGAGTAAAGAAAAAATAATGGCTGTGAATGTATTTCAGCTATTCCCCTGGAATCTTCCATAGAGGTTAAGCTGAATTTTAGTTCTTTGCATAAAGTTTTATTTTATCTTTGGAATTAAGATAAGAATTCTGTGTTTTAATTTTTTTTAAAAAATCTGTTGCTTTGCACTAACTTCTTAAGAAAAAGTGAAAGTACAAAATTTTTAAAAAATTAATTTAAAAATAATATGTAGAGCCTTCAAAATTACAGCGCATCAGGAATTTCCCATTCTGGTCAAGATGTCCCTGAAGAGCCCTGTGTTAGACCAATCCTCAGTGAATTTTCATAGAAACTGATTTTAATTTCCTTTAGTTTACTCTGTCTTATCGTATGGTACTTTTGTGGGAAAGAGAGGTGATGCAAAATAAACTATGCTAAGTTAATCAATTCTCCATTAGATACCATTTACTGTTTCTGTTTGTTTTTTTGTTTGTTTTATTTTTTGTTTTGGTGCATGCCCAGCTTACTCCTGGCCCTAGGCTCAGGTATCTCTCCTGGGGGATTAGGGCAGCATACATGGTGCTAGGGATCGAACCTAGGTCAGGTGCATGAAAGGCAAGTGCCTTGCCCACTCTACTATTTGATCCTATTTTATTCAACAATCTCAAATATCAGGAAAGGAATAATTGAAAAACTCTGGGACTTGTATATTGCCCATTTTCTGGACACTGCCCTGGCACCGTTTGTCACCAACTAGTTCAGACTCATTCTGGGGTTCAGTTAGCAGGTGCACTTAGCCCTGCCTAAAGTCGAGCTCTCCAGCTAGGCCTTCATCAATTATAAATACGATACTGTGAGCTCCATCTGCCACCCCTTTGTCCCACAGATCCGTTCCTTCTGAAGTCAGTCAGAAGGTCAGTCTATATCAGGTTCTCTCAAGACTTCTGCATACTTCACTTTTCTCCAATTCATCTAGAATGCTCTATTTCTTCCTTCATCACTCCTTGCACTTTCCTCAAACTCTAGAACTACCCACTAAAGTTCTTCCTCCATACCTAGATCTAACTCAGATACTTTCTTTTACCCAAAGCATTTTCTAATTCTCACAAACAGAATCCTATCCCAAGTTAAATTTC